CTAGTTAAACTAGATTAATTATTTATAACTAGTTATTATTATTATTATTTATAATAATAAAAATAGTATATTAATACTATTACAGAGCTTAGGTTTTTAACCTCTAAGTTCTTATACCTTAGAGATTTTAGTCTAGGCTTTATATTTAGTTATTATTATATAACTATTTATATTAGCAAATAGAAATAGAAATAGAAATAGGTTTTTAAGATAGTTATTAAAACTTCTTATATAAATTATTATTAATAAGTTAGTTATAAAAACTACTTATATTTTCTTATTATTTAGTTATTAAAAACTATAGCTTAAGAGAGTGTATAAAGATTATAATAACTTAGTTATTATTATCTTTTTATTATTATTAAGCTTTATTAAGATTATACTTATTATTATTTCTTAACAAATTAGAAAAATTTCTAGTAAATCTAATTACTTACGTAATTAGAATTTTAGTAGCTAGTTTTAATCTACTACACTAGAAGATTCTAAAATACCTCTATTTGTCTTAGCCTAGTTAATATTAGAGTTATTACGTAATTTAATAACTTTTATCTTCTTATCTCTCTTTTTATAATTACTAAAAGATCTAGTAATAAACTAATTATTAGTCTATGCAATACAACGCATAGACTAATATAATTAGTACTAGTCTAGATTATAAATCTAGAAGATAAAAAGAATTTAGTAGACTTAGATTATAAATCTAGAAATTAATAGAAATTAAGTAGATTTAATTATAAATTCTTATCTCTAGGCAGAAATAAGTAGATATTTACGTAATTATTCTAGTAGCTATTTTCTATAAAAGAAATAGTAATTCTCTATAGTTATTCTTTACCTAGTAATAATATTATTACCTTTTACCTACTATTTACTCTATAATTACTTTATTATAAATCTTTATTAGTTATACTATTTATTATAGTATTTAACTACTTTGTTCTAATAAAGCTATATTCTATTATTAGAGAATAGTTCTTATTACCTATCTATTCTTTATACTTTTAGAGTACTAAAACCTTTAGTTATATATTCTTTAGTATACTAGTAATAGATTTTACTTTTTTAGAACTAGTTTATAAGCTATAGAATTATTAGTTTACTAATAAACTTATCTATTACTTATTCTATTATATAATATAATAATTATATCTTTTTTAAAGCTTATTTAAACTATTATTCTAATAAGCTTTTAGTAAATAAAATATATACTTAAAGATAGTATATAGTTTTTCTAAGATAGAAGATAAAATAAGTTAAGTTTTAGTAAGTTACTATATATAGTAAAGAGATTAGTAGTATCTCTATTAGAATAGATACTTAATATAGTTAATTATATTATATATATATATATAGTTATTATTCTTATCTAAATACTATTTAGATCTAGCTTTCTCTAGTGTACTAACTTTTAAGTCTAATAGCTATTTAGTCTATTATTATATTACTAGTTTTATAACTATAATAGAAGACTTAACTAATTAGCTTTTATACTTCTATTTTATATTTATTAGCTAAAAGACTCTACTTTATAAAGAATTACTAGAATAGATTAAAATAATCTTTTAGAAGCTTTACTATTTAAGAAAGCTTTTTATATAAGCTTATAATATAAGAATTTTTCTTCTATTTATTTCTATACTTCTAGACGCGACAACTACTATACCGCGCTGCGACCGACAGGGTGTCGCGAGGCCCGCTATAGCACTTCACCTCGGCTTTACGACTCTCGACCCCACTGCGGCAACATCGCAAGTCGGCTACTTCGCGCGTCAACAACTAACGTCATGCGACAGCCGTGAACGCAACAACAGCACCGATGTGACCACCACTCACGCCGACGATGCTCTCCTCAGCGGCATCGCGCACTCTGCGCATCTCGCGCGCAACACGCACCGCTTCACGCCTCCGCATCCACCCCCCACGATGCCACTTTAGCAGCACCCCCCGCCCTCACATCATGGAAACAACCGGCTTCACCTCCACGCAACTCGAAATCCGCGACGCCATCTTCGCACTCTGCTCCCGCTTCCCCAACAGTTACTGGCGCGACCGCGACGACAGCAGCAGCGACCCATCAGACTTCCACGCCGCGCTGGCGAAAGACGGGTGGCTCGGCATCGCATTACCAGAAGCGTATGGGGGGTCCGGCCTAGGTATCTCGGAAGCAACGATGATGATGCAGACGATAGCGGAGTCTGGCGCTGGCATCGCGGGCGCGCAAGCGATCCATGCGAATGTGTATGCGACGCAGCCGCTGGCTAAGTATGGGAGTGAGGAGCAGTTACAGGAAACGATACCGAGGATAATATCGGGGGAGTGGCGGACGTGCTTTGGGGTTACGGAACCGGATTCGGGGTTGGATACGTTGAGACTGAGTACGTTTGCGAAGAAAGATGAAGATGGGAAGGGGTATAGCATAACAGGCCAGAAGATATGGATAACATGCGCGCAAGTCGCATCACGCATGATCCTGCTTGCGCGAACGACCCCACGGGACGAAGCAGAGAAACCAAGTAAAGCGCTGAGTCTATTTTGCATACCGCTTGATCGCTCAGCGCCAGGACTGGACATGCGCCGCATCAAGAAAATGGGCGGGCGCGCCGTCGACGCAAACGAAGTCTTCTTCGACAACTACGCAATCCCCGCATCTTGCCTCGTTGGCCGCGAAGGCGAAGGCTTCAAAATAATCCTCGGGGGCATGAACGCAGAACGATGTCTGCTCGCAGGCGAAGCCCTCGGATTAGGCTACGCGGCCCTGACAAAAGCCGCCGCCTACGCTAACTCACGCCACGTCTTCAACCGGCCCATCGGCATGAACCAAGGCATATCACACCCCCTCGCGGACGCGTACATGCAGCTTGAAGCAGCGAAACATGTCACGTACCACGCAGCGCGGCTGTATGATGCGAGTAGGACGGATGCGGGTATTAGGCAGGATGCGATTGGGGTTGCGGCGAATAGCGCAAAGTATCTTGCCGCGGAGGCGGCGTTTACGGCGTGTGAGAGGGCGGTGCTGGCGCATGGGGGGATGGGGTATGCGGCAGAGTATGATGTGGAGCGGTTTTTGAGGGAGTGCTTTGTACCGAGGATTGCGCCGGTGAGTAGGGAGATGGTGTTGAATTATATTGGGGAGAAGGTGCTGGGGCTGCCGAGGAGTTATTAGATGTGGGGGAAGGTTTGAAGACGACAGTAAGTAGAACCGCGGGCAGCAGAGAGAGGGTAGAGACACCCACTAGGATGGTCTTGGGCTTGCCGAGTAGTTGTTCAGTGTAAGGGAAAGAGAGCGCTCAGCAGATCAAGAGCAACAGAAGGTTTATCCTTAATACATGTACAAAGAGCAAGGCTACATAAGAATCGCCTATAAGATAGCTGTTCATATATCCATATCCAACATAAATAGGGGTTGAGATCGTCTCTAGTCATATACAACAAAAATCAAACGCTATTACCAACATATGCGCGTCCAACGCGACTCCATACGCCAGTAAAGATCGATTACCAACGCCTTGCTATCCCAACCTATGCTTTCAATTCATCCTCCTCACTCTACCTTCTCACCCTCCTCAACCCTCTCCTTCTCCTGCACCAAATCAACCTGCTTAACCGGATGCAGCAGCATAGCCGGAAGACACATCCTCCCCTCACCCGCAACCTCGTATTCCTCGCCACCGTCATTATCAACTTTATACCCCATCCACCTCTTCCACAGATTAGGCGCAAAGCCCGCGTGATAGTACCAAGTGGTACCCAAAAAGTTATGTTGGCGCTCATCGCTAAAAACAGACATGCGCGCACCGCCACTGGCGCCATTCCGGCCGTTGTTGAAGATAGCAGCGAGGTACTGGGTTGGCCATTTGCGGTCGATAAACACGGGGTGAGGGGCGTACACGGCTTTGAGGCCGTGGTGCAGGGCACAGGATGCGGGCCACATTTCGGAGAACATGGTGTGGCGATGTCGCGACTGTTCGCGGTGCATGGTTTCGAGGAGGCGGCGGGAGAGGCGGCCGGAGGTGTTGATGGCGGTGCGGCGCGGAGGAAGACCATTCTTCTTATCGTAGCCGGTGACGTCGTCGGCGAGGATCCAGTTAGTGTGGTCGGGGTCGAAGAGGGGGTTGAAGACGATGAGGTCGGCGGGTTCGCCAACGCCCCACTCGTACTTGTCTTCTGTGATTGTTGTGTTTGGTTTTACCGACTCGTCGATTTCGATGTCGGGGTAGTCTTGTGGGGGCTCGGGACCCCAGACTGGCTTCTCGGGCTTTTGCATTTCGGCGAGGGGGACGTGGGGGTTGGGTGGGAGGTGTGATGACCATTTGTTTGCTTGGTTGTTTGTGCCGTGCTGGGTCTGCCAGTGCACCATCTGCTTGAACTCTTCCCAGGTGCCGTGGACGGATGGGACGTAGAACCGGGCGTCGCGCTCCCACAGCCCTTTGCGCGGCTGGGCGGTCGTCCATTTGGAGACCTGTTCGAAGAGGTGGTAGTGGTGGCCAGTATACCGAACGTCCATCTCCCAGTGCCAGAAGAAGTCGAACTCGGGGTGCTGGTGTGCAAAGTACGTGACTGGCATGAAGGTGGAGCGATAGACGCCGTGTACAGGCAGCCCGCGGTAGTTTGACTCCTCCAGACCACCGTAGATCAAGCCCATCTGACGTTCCGACCAGAGCGTGCCCATGCCGGCGAACTCAGCAGGTAGCGCGTTCTTGAGGACTTCCTGGTGGATCGCTTCGTCGGCCCAGATCTGCTTGTTGTCGTCGTGGACTTGGATCAAGAAGTGGACTTCGTATTCGCCGCCCGACGCGAGGCTCAACTCGGAGACGAGTGCACGCAGGTACATGATGTCTTCGTCGTCGTAGTTGTAGTCGTCCCAGGTTCGGACGAGGACTGCGGTCCTGGGAAGAAGCGTATTGTGCGCCGCCTTCGGTTGTAGCACGGTGCCGTTTGCGGGGGCGTCGTCAGCATCGCGTTTCTGCATGGTAAACGAGTCTGTCCGGGACTTGGGTTGCTTCTGGAAGCGGCCCTTGTTCTTCTCCAGGCAGCGGTCGATCGCCTCCGCCCAGCTGACGTCGCGGAAGTCCACCTCGGCGTCCACCTTCCATACGTCTTCGATGCCTTCGCGGTCGCCCTCCATGCCGGCGCCCGTCCCACCGCGCCGCTTGCTGTAGCCGAGGCCATACGGACCGAGGCGTCCGAAGCGCTCAAAACAGACATCGTCCCTCAGACCCAGTGTCTCGTAGCTCCCAATGACGTTATCCGGCATGCCCTGGGGAACGCCCTTGTATGCCCGCAGCCCTGGCACCTTGATGGTGTCGTTCGCATCGAGATAGCACGTCTCGACCGGCCCGTATGTGTCCACGTAGTTGACGCCGCTGTAGTCTGGGTACGGGTCGAATGTTATCGATTCGGCAATGTGTGCGCCCTGCGACTGTCGCTTTTCGACGTCGCTCTTGGGCTCCTCGGCGGGCAGCTCAGGGTCGATGTCCTGCTTGGTGGGGTATTCGGGCACGTTCTTCTCGCGGCTCACCAGTGACCGCACGCCGCCGTGGTAGCGCTTCAGGAACGGGAAGCTCTCCCAGACGTTGGGCGGCGGCGGCGGCTTATTCAGGCCGAGCTCTGCATTCCGTATCGAGGCCCAGCTGCTGCTGAAGAGGAAGTACATGAAGAAGAGCAGCGTACTCGCCACGGCCAGCCCAAAGTATCGTGTGCATGCCCGCGGATTCCTATAGCTGTATGCGCTGACGGTGGCTTTCGAAGGGGCTCTCCGGTGGGATTTGGAGGACCGGCGCAGCGGTCTCGATTCGATGTTGTTCGGGTTCGGGTCGTATGCGCCCGACGATTCCCGGGACGAGGATGGGCTCGTGGTGCCCGAGGACATGTAGGCCTCGTAGTCGTCGCTTTGGTAGCCCTTCTCGTTGACTTCGCCGTCCTCGACATCGCGCTCGTGGGTCGCCGCCTGGTTGTACGACTTGGCTTTCCGCTTGCCCACGGATAGCGGACGGAAGCCTAGCATCTCGATCGGGGAGTCGTGTGACTGTGACTATCGCATGTGCGGTGAGGTGACGGCGTTGCGTAAGGGTCGGTGCGAGGGAGGCAGCTGGCCAATAAGGTCGTTACGTAAGGAATCAAGAGGTGAATTGGATATATACGTGTCGGAAAGCGTATCAGTCGTATCAATGCGTAGCGGTGCAGTTGGCGGTGCTGGTGCTGGTGCTGCTAGTATACAAAGTTGCAGCCCGCCCAGGGTGCACGCTCGGAAATCGGAAAGATTGCCGCGCGCACTAAACATGGCGTTGGCGGAACAACCGCTGCTCACCACGGCTACACAGCGCTACACCTCGAACGCCGTCCAGCATCGCCTATCGCATAGGGTTGAATGAGCTCTCATGTGCTTAGTTCATTCAAAATGATTAAGATGCGCATGATGCGACGTCTTATACAACGACTTCGAGCAACTTCTCCACGCTCAAGTGCTAGCACATCACACTACGACTCCCGCATACTCACCTTACAAGGAAACCCATCCACCGGATGCGCCGCCCCCTGCGGCACCTGATACGCCCTCTCGCCAAACACCTCTTTAATCCCCTTTGACGGATTCCTTCGATCCCACTCCTCATACATATCCCTCACATCAAACTCCCTCACCGTCATAGCTAAGGTAATCTTGATATCCAGCATCGCCAGCGTCTGGCCCACGCAATTCCTCGGGCCAAATTCAAATGGGCGCCACCCTCCTTTCGGCGGATACAAAGCATGACCAGGTTCGACGAGCCAGCGCTCGGGTAAAAAGGCGTGAGGCTGGGGCCAGTAGTGCGGGTTTCGCTGGATAGCGCCGTGGACGACCCAGATGTTGATGTCTTGGGTGGGGTATTTGTTTCCGTTTTTGTCGCGGAGAAAGACGCCGGGGAGACCGCCTCGCATGCCTGAAGCGGGCGGGAAGAGGCGCAGAGTCTCCTTGACTACCGCGTTCATGTAAGGCAGCTTATTGATCTGCTCTGGATGCTTCTTCAGCACGCCGGCGGCTGTGTCGTTGCCTGCGCCAAAGACTTCGTCGAGCTCCGCACGGGCTTTGGCCAGGGCTTCTGGGTGTTTGGATAGCATGTATAGACTGTATACGATGGTAGCGGCCGTCGAATCGTGTCCAGCGAACAGGAACAGCCTAATCTGAACTGTCGCCCACCGCTTGAATTCAGGGTCGAGCTTGGCCGCTCCTTTCCGCTCGCCCATGTACGCGGCTATTGTGATGTCCATGACAGACTTGGCGCGGGTGGACGGCTTGTTGCTTCTCCAATCTTCATAGCGCTTGTCGAGCTCTGTGCTGATATAGCGATCCATCGTTTTGCCGTTTCGCCATTCGATCCAGGGGCGGTACGGGTTCCAGCGCTTGAACGGATTCATCTCCTGGTCCCGGCAATTCCATTCTATAGAGCTGCGCATCGCTGCTGCAAGGGCGTTATGGCTGGTCATGGAGTGCAGACGTGCGTTGCTGGTTGTGTTAGTATGTGAGACACACGTGATAATCTGTTGGTATGCTCACATGGTAATAACGCCAATGAGATCCATCATATAATCACACGTCAATCGATCCAAAGAAAACGTATCCCCTTTCTTCGCATGCTCTCGCAGCAATCCCACATAGACCTCAGCTTCCTCGATGATATGTGGCGTACTCTCCATCATAACCCTATCACTAAACCCCGGGTTAAACAGCGCCCTCGACCTCTTCCACTCCGCGCCGTTCATGTCGAAAAGATTCGCGCCTCCCGCAAACGGCGCAAAGAACGGAATCAGAATGGGCGGCTTGGGCAGATCGTATTCCTGACACGCCTGCATCGCCATCTCGGGCGACGTGACTATCATGAGCGGACTGGTAAACGGCCAGAGATCGACGTAGAAGCAGTTGTCGGAGTCTGGGAAGTCGTTTGCGAGCAGAGTAAAAGCATCGGATTGCTGCGAGCCTTCGGGAAATTGCTTGAGAAGGCCTGGTAATACTCTCATATTTCCGGTTGCGAAGTCCCATGCTGGAACGGGCTTTGAGGCGCGGCAGGTTAGTTCATGGCTCGCGACATGTTTGGGGAAGACTGCGTACCATGCCCTGCTTTTTGAGCCTGTAGAAGATCATGCGCATCTTCACCAACTTGAACAAGAAAACAGCAATGGCGGCAGTCGCTGCAGATAGCGCGACCTGCCATGCTGCGCGCTTCACATCTATTGAATCCATTGTACGCTGCCTCTGGATGATGTTGTGACCCTCCGGCACACTTCGGGGCGTAAAAGTCGTGAGCTTGTCGCTACGCTGCTAGCAATCACCACGGGGCGTAGAACATTGCAAAGTAAAGCAAGAACGAAGACGATAGGGGTATATTGATGTCACGTTTCGCAACGGCCTGGCAATCGCTTTTGTAGCCCGTCGCAATCGTAGCCATATCGGTGGTCGCGCGGTGCTACTTGGCTAGCGCTCACCGCGGTGAAGCGAAAACCAACGGGGCGTAGCGGCCCAGGCTGCCACCGGCTATTCCTTGCAACCAACAACAACGCTCCGCATCCCTCGTCGGGTGCCTTGCAGACGAGGCCACCAGCCCTACGAAAAAAACCCCTCGCTAATGCCTGTCTATGCTTGATTTCACTTCCGCCCATTTCTTCACCACCGCCGCCTTCTCAGCATCACTCGCAGCACGAAACGCAACAGCAGATCGTCTTAGCTGGACAAAGAAAATCTCCGCCTGCAGCGCAGTGAGATGCCGAGCCAAAAGGCCCCTCTCGACGCCTTTCAAGAAGTATCCTGGCAGGCCAAAGACCGCTGACAAGTGTTAGATAAGCGGATAAGCGGAATATTCGGAACCCGAACTTACCGGCTCCCAAATGGAGATATAGCCCAGCTAGACCTCGCCCAATTCCTTTGCCAAAGCCCATGGCGCCTTCTTGTTTCGCGCCGAGATAGGGGTGTCGAACGATGCCTACGATTGCGTCGCTGAGGCCGAGCACGAATTCTTTGCCGGCGAGCTTGCAGCCGCTGCCGAAACCGGTGATTTCGTCTCTTTGACGCGCGGGGTCGTTGCGGATTGCGTATGAGGGTAGGTTCCGGAAGCCATTGGCGATGTTGTAGAAGAAGGCGATTGGGGTTTTGGCTCCTGTGGCCGCAAGATCACCAACGTAATGCGCGGTGGCGCTTGTGATCTGGTAGCCACGGCCGCCTCTTGCTCGCCTCGCAGCGATCTTCTCGCGAAGAGCTGAGATACCCGGGCGGTTCTGCGGCTTCTCGAAATTGTGCGTGTAGTCATCATCGCACGACTTCGCTGCCATTCTGTACGCCAGATGGTGGAAGTGCTTGGATGTGATGCCCTTCTCCAGGTCGGGCTCATCAACGGTCGGTACTCTTCTCAGGGCTTCAGCGTCGGACTCCGTCTCACGTGGTCTCTTCTTCAGCCGCTGCGAGAACTCAGCTGTATCGGTACCCAAAGAGGCCATGAGTCCTCCGAAAGCAGCGACCACACCGGTCAATGGTCCTTCAGCGCCTTCATGGGTATAGTAATGCCGATGTTGCAGCAAACGCAGGTGCTTCAAATCTAACAGTCTTTCTTGGACAAGCACGGAGGCTGCGAAGCCACTGAGATGTGCTCCAGTCTCTTTGTCACGCCATATAGCGAGGCGATCCGGACAGATATGACATCGCATTCCATCAATGCCAAGTTTCTGCTGGAAGTCGCGCACGGTATCGCCAGCGCCATCTTCCTCCGCGATACTTTCGGCCATCTTCTGAACAGCGACCTTGACCGAATCTTGGAGCGCAAAGGTGATGCTTGTCGCAAGGCTCTCGGCAGTCATCTGCTTGAACGGGACGGGCATTGGACCAGCTCCAGCCTTTGCAATCATCTATCGTATTGTTAGATCGGCTCAGTCGTGTATCAGCGCTGACTTACCTGCCCCCAGAAGGGTTGATCGCCGAAGAAGGGCACAACAACCGTAGGTCTTCCCAAGGCAATCCCAGCAGCCGTCGTTCCCGCGCCTCCGTGATGGACTACACACGAAACCCGCTGAAAGAGCCAGTCGTGCGGACAATTACCGATGAGGTACACATCATCCGGCACATCACCCGCACCCACGCCGCCCCAACCCTTGGAAACTATGGCTCGAACTTTGGCCAGCTTCACAGCGTCGAAGATGAGCTTGGTGAGAGCCACTGGATCGTCCACCACTATGCTGCCGAAACCAATGTACACCGGAGGAGGGCCTTTCGCAAGAAACTCAGCCAGGTCGTCCGGCGGCGTGTAATTCGATCCAGCATCCAGGAACGAGAAACCGGTAATGCTGATATGTGAGTCCCAGTCAGCTGGCCGCGGGATCAAAGCCTGTGACCATAGGTAGCTATATGGGACGCGGAGTCTCGAAAGCAGGAGATGACCCCAGAGCGGGCTAATAGCGTCTAGGTGCAAGGTCTGCGTCCTGAACTTGTTGATGACATCGCCTAGACCCTGCCACGTGAGCAGCTCCATGATGCCGAAGCTGAAGTAGTTTGCGACGGACCTCTCAACTTCGCCATACTCCATGGCCGCTAGCGGGTGATGGAAAGCCTTTGTTGGCGACCACGGCATGGTGAAGACCATGTGCAGCGGAATGCCAAGCTTCTCAGCGCAGTGAATGTGGCCCATGGACGGCGGGTTCGCAATGATGCAATCTGCGATGAACAAATCCTCGGGCGCGTCTACGTCCAACGCTGAAACTCTCTCGCCCATGCCATCACCCGCCTCGATGCAACTTCTCCAAGTACCCTCCATCATCTCGGCCATCTCTTTTCGTCGCTTGCCAATGTCACCGGCTTTGATGGACTGCATGTTTGGAATCAGCCCTGGGTTCTTCACCATGTAGGCCATGAGTGCTTCGGGGTCGCCTCCGATGGAGAAGAACTCCACTCCATTGCTTTCCACAAAGTCCTTGAAGGCGGGATGCGTGCAGATGCGCACTCGGTGGTGATGTGGAGCAGCTTGGAGCAGCTTCGCAATCGGAATGAAAGGCTGCACATCGCCGCGAGACCCGCAGATGTGTATTGCGATGTTCAGTCGCGGTGCGCCGATACTGCTCGTCTTGTCGCTGATGAACTCATCCACCAAAGTCGTACTGCCTCTTCGCGGTTTTGCGCATCCCGGCGGTCGGCATGCCGCGGAATCTTTCTGGAGCTTGTCGAACCAGTATTTCAGATGCGTCGTGTTCCTGTGGAATTGTATGGCGACCTGGCCGAACGTGTTGACTCTACCGGTGCTTTGCGCTTTCCCGTCGTGGTACTCGCCGCGCTTCTGCTTGGAGCTGAAGTTGAGAGGCATTGCGATACCGGCTGCACGCGGAAGCTACATTGGGCTCCCGATGGATTATAGGAACACTGCAGGAGATCAGACGAATGACGGGCATCAACATGCTTCAACTGTTGGTCTTGGTACGAGTAATCAGTCTTTCCGGGTTGCCTCTAGCGCACGCTTACACCTCTTACTTGATCGGCTCGCAATCTGCAGGCCGCGGATCTTCTGCGGCGAAGCGGGCCAATCCACAGCGTGTTGCCCATGCCGCGCCGCCGATCATCCGCGCCCAACGAACTTTCGCACGAACAGATTGTGCTCGGCCGTGTCTATCTCGATAGTCTGGACCGGAATCTCAGGACTTCGCGTGGCGCCGCCATGATCGTCCGTGTTGTTACGCCTATCACAGTTGGACCGAGGGCCGCATACATAGGCGTCACCGTCTCTACTCCCGAGTAGCTCAACGGCGAGACACCGAGCGTGTGTTCAGTGACATGTGAAGCAAAAGCATCCACTCCATCATTACCCTCGACTTGGACGTCCGAATCTGCATCGCATACGACGACGGCTGCGCATACATATCCAGCCATGGCCGACGATCAAGAGAAGGGCATCATTGGGCGGGCGCGCGGCATGTCGCTGTCGTTGCTGCACACGACACCGCAGCTGGGCATGTGGCAAGCCACTGCGACGGCCATGGCTCAAGCGCCCAACTTGACAGAGTTGCGTGAGCCAGAGTCGGGAGGGTCAAACATCACGTTCGATGCGCATGGCCATGCCACTCGAGTAGCGGTTCCAGACGAAGACGGAGAGCTCACCTTGGTCAAATCCCAGACTAGGATCCTTGACCAGCCCGCAACAGACGCGATGGTACCGGGAGAAGTGGACGAGAAGACTGGGAAGAGGTCGCGTAAGCCTCATGGACATGGATTCCACCGTCGACGAACGTTGAAGGAGAAGCACGCGTCGTCCGAGAAGGAACCGTGGGGCCCTACCATCAAGCACGGTCTGAAAGCCTTCTGGGTCTTCTTCCTCACACCGTCAGGCTTCCTAATAACCATCTACGGACTCAACATCGTCGTACGTATACGCCCGCCCCATCAACCCCCCTTCTTACTAACAACCCCAAGGCCTGGGGCGCAATGCTCTTCTTCCTTCTCCTCAACGCCGCGCCCGCCATGTGCCACCCCAGCTGCGACGACGACTACTCGTCGCGCAAAATCTGGCTCGAAATCGACAGCCAGATCCTCAACGCCCTCTTCTGCGTCACGGGCTTCGGCCTCGCCCCCTGGCGCTTCCGCGACTTCTACTGGATGCTCCGCGCCGTCCACTTCCACGACTCAAACGCCATGCGCCGGCTCTGGAACCAGAATAAAGCGTGGTTCCGACCGCCGGCCTGGTTCACGGAGAACGAGGGGTGGAGGGGCGAGGAGGAGTTGATGCCGCAGACTTTTACGGGGGAGAGGGCGCCGCCGACGGGGATGTGGAAACTGGCTTTTACGGTTGATATGATGGTTTTGAATACGCTGTTGCAGGCTGTGTTGTGCTTTTTTATGTGGCATTATGATCGGTTGGATCGACCGACGTGGGCGACGGGCACGTTTATTGCGCTGGGGTGTGGGGTTGCGATGTTTGCGGGGGTTATGTCGTGGTGGGAGGGGAGGAAGGTTAAGAAGATTGAGGGGCCTGAGATTAAAGTTGAGACGAAGGCTGCGGATGTGGAGAGTGGGTAGGGCGCGATTATTGCATATGTTTACTCCAGTTGACGAGTTCCTCGCCCGACGGTTCTTGCCATTCAAGGCAACCTGATCGGAGGGGTGTGCTGTCGATTCGGAAGTCGTGAGCCCCTCGTCTTTCCGCGTCACCGCAGTCCCACATCATTATCGCCTTTTTAATTGTTACCCCGTACCAAGCTCACTTATCACTGGTAACGAAGTTAGCATTCGATTTCTGTCTCCTTCCAACTCGGCGGCGGTGCAGCGTGGCTGTGTATCCTCTGCTACGAAGATGCCCGCCAGTGCGGGGCACCTGCATGCGGCACAGCCAGTGTATGCATCTCAGCCTTGCCTTGACGAGGCGGAGCGCCATGAACCTTGCTCAGGCAGACATTTCAAACAAATTGTTATTCCTCACAATAGCCTCGAGACTCCTGGCACTGTTTCCACCGACTAACGACCATGGCCGAGATCGTTGGGTTGGCAGCTTCCCTCATCACCCTGGCTGGCGCGAGCGCGCAACTCGCCAGAACGCTCCTCGAAGTCGCCAACGTTATCAAATCCGCTGAATACGAGGCTAGGCTCATCGCCGCAGATATCTCGGTCTTTTCAAGCTCGCTCACGCAATTGAGTATGGTCGTTGATCTTCCACATTCCAAGACCGAGAAGCTTCGCGAGATCACCGTCGTCTTGATCGCCGCATGCCAAACTCTCATAGAGGATTTGAGGATGCTGATTGGAGAGCCAGTTCAACATGATCCTTCGCGACGTGGTTTCACCATTTCGCTCATACGGTTCCGGTTCAGGTGGATGAAGGTTGGGCCTAAGGTCATGTTTGTCAAGAGCTTGGTGGATTCGTTTAAGACTACTATCATCGTCCTTGTCTCTACCATGAACTTGGCTGTCGTACTGCAGCGAGATGCCCCGGAGTCTATCAGGTAGGCATCATAAGATTGCAGTAGCAGTATCATGGTTAACGTTTGTACAGCGAGAGTCTGAAAACACAGGTCGAGAGCAACATCAAGTTTGCGGAAGACGCTACGGAGTGTCTGCATCATCATCGAGATGCTCAACAAGATGATAGTTCTTACTTCACGCTCACTCTGGATCCCAGCACTGCAATAGAGGCCGGAGACGCGACACCAAATGAGGGTGGAGAGTTGGTTGTGCTTGGTGCAGCACAACAAGATATTACGAAAAGGCACGACTCAACCATCTTCCAGAGCGGGGAATTCGACGAGGATGACTGCGCTCTCCAGGCTGCTCAAAACTGTACACAAATTGTCGAGATGCAGCAAATGTCTTGTGCGTTAGCCAGAGATGTGCTAGATCATCAGAGTCTGGAACCGACGTGGAGCTGGAATGCGACCAAGAAGGTGTCTGCACATGAGGAACCCCAGCCCTTTCCTACAAGCGAAGATAGCTATTCGACAGCGGGATCTGAAACTTATGAAAGAACACCGTCTAAGGAAAAAGGCGAAAAGTCGGTACGCCACCACGAGCCGCAAGAACGCCGGATTCCCCTCGGGGAGTTATTGGAACAGATGCGAAATCCCGACTCCAAGGCGAAATGGATCAGCAATTCGAGTGTCGATACTGGTGTGCACCGACAGAAGTCGTTCGAGCGCAAGGACGAAGAGGCGGTACGCGATAGTAGTTCACGGCAACACGTTGAACGCGATGAAAAGGATAGAATCGACAGGTTAGAGAACTTGCTTATCGAGAAGGAAAAGGCAGAGAAGGAAGCTGCTGAAAAGGCGAGGGCAAAGACGGAAAGCAGTAAATTCGATAGGTTAGAGAATCTGCTTATATCCCAACAGGAGGCAAAGATCGAAAAGGAAAAGGCAAAGAAAGAAGCTGCGGAACAAGTGGAGAAAGCCAGAAAGGCACCGATTGTTTTCTACGATGCTATCGATCGCAAGTTCGAATGCCCTTGGCGTTTGTGCAGTAATTGGGGGGTAGGTAATCTACCAGCTTGCTTTGACTATCCAGACTGATTGCAGTAGGGAATGCGGGAATTCATCGCGAATGTCAGTTCCGGGGTGCCAGTGCTCTCCCAGCTAGTCGAACGTGGAGAGTTCGACCTGGTAAAAGATGACATCGTCATTCCACCGCAACTGTGGGATACCCTGGTTGTTCCTGGATCAACGGTAACAATGCGCGCCAGGAAATTGGCCTCGCCTCCTATTGACAAGAAGGCTTCATGGCTTCGGAGATCGATAGGAAAGGGGAGTGGCTAGTATGAGGTAGAAATATTACACTACTTACGACTTTCGAAGCTGATGCTGGCAATGGCACCTGTTCATCTAGGCTATCGCATCCTTCGCTGCGCCTTCGCCGTCGCCATCACCTTTAACTCCAGACCAAGACTGCGCTGCTAACACCAAACCCCTACTTTCTTAGCAATACCTGATCATTTCGCTCTCGCTCTACATTCCCGCCGTACCTGCAAGTCACGTTTCCTCTTCACCAACCTTAATCTCCCAGCCCACCCTCTCCAAATCCTTCAACACCAGCTCCTCGAACGCTCTACTAGCCATAGAGTGAGGCGTACTCGCCGGAACCAGATCCTTAAGCTGAAAAGGTTTCGTGTCCGCCATACTCCTTATAACCCTAATCCAACTCACCTGCAGCGCCTTCTTCTCTTCACCCTTTTTCGCCATAGCCAGCAGTTCCAGAATCGAGGCCGATATACCGTGGTTTGCGACGTCAAGGCATATTTCGTATCCGACATCGAGCAGCACGCGGCGGGCGAGCAGGATATTCGGGAAGGCGTACGCGGATTCGTACAATTTGCGTCTCGGAACGATGTGCGCGCACATATGATAGTACTGCCGTTCAGCCCGCGGAGAACGCACGAACTGTGTATACCGATAGAACTGCGCCGTAGACTCCGCGTAGATCTGCTGGCTCATCCATATCCATGCATACTCTTGCGCGTGTCTAAGTCCCTTACAGGGGCCTCCGTTCTCTGGCGCTACAAGATCGCATGTCGACATGAGACTTGCCCTGTATGTACCAGTAGATGAATACTCAGCCGTAATAATTGGGCCCTGAGGCATTAGATTGTGCTCCGCGAAGTTCCAGGTTAGCTCTTGGTAGAAGGATATTATCGTGCCGCTCCAGGCGTGGTGGTATATTAAGTCGCGGATCTCTCGAGGCAGGCGGAAGAACCGGTTAAGGAATATCGTGTGCTGTTTTCGGGCTCTTTGTTTCGATCTTGCTGCTTTGCGCCTTTCGTATGGAAGCAAGGCCTCGATGAGGGCTGGTCGTTCTTCCTCGATCTTTTTGCTCAGATCGGCCGCGCGGTAATGTGCCGCGTATGCCTTTTCTCTCGCGCGTGCAAGCAATTGGTCGAGGTGCGCTATGCGGTTTCTTATAATTCTTCTTTCAAACTTCTCTACGCGTCGTGCGGCCTTGCGCTGCTCTTGTGTGGGCGTCTGGTCGACGACCAAAACCTCTTGTTCATCGGTCTGTTCCTCTAGCTCGTGTTCGAACATCGTGGCGAGTGCTGTGGAGAGAGATACCAAATGCGACGGAAGAATATGTTGTGTGTAATACTTTTCAAGTAGATGGATGAATGCGACGTTCGCTACCAAATACGCGACCCCTATTGCTGTTCCGTGGTTCACATACGACCCACAGACAAGACGAGCCAACCATGAGTATGATGATTGCAACCTCTCTCATTTGAGGAGTATCTTTGCGAATAGCATGGTTACATATTGCGGGTGTCGTGAGTGGCTCATCGCTCGTTCTGTGTCGTCGTAGTACCAGTTGACGGAGTGGATGACAGAGAGCCAACCATGACTAGCATCGCCAGATATAACGATGTATTATAAGACAGGAAAGGAAAGAGATTTCACGGGGGTTCCAATCCAAGGAAGAAACCCCTCTTGTTCCTCATCCTGACCATCATTCCCCTACCTCTCCCACCAAAGTGGGTTCAAAAGACCAATCCAGCTTACCGCGCACATCCCACTTGTCTCCACGCGTCCTTTCTGGACGCCCATTCAATCTAAGTTGCAGCTTCGAGTACATCATATACGGCTGGCAGCGATCCGACGCCCCCTCTCGCGAAAGATGAAGCGTAAGCCACTGAAATGCGCCTTGCCCCGACCCCAAAAGACGATCTGCAATACCGGTCGCAGATGCGACAGTACTTTCTTTGTTGAGTTCGGGATGCGGGATGTTGCCCCAGATATCCTGTACGAGCTTTTCGCTGTAGTCGTTCGCTTCGTGGGGAATGTGCAGCCAGAGATCAAGCTTCGTGAGATTCATCCCTAATAGGGCGACGAGATGTTGCGGATCGATCTAATGGCACGGTCAGCGCAACTGTGAATTTGGTCCGAGTGAGCGTGGCTTACGTTGCGTTCGCAGGGTGCGTCCCAGCCTAGATGCTTGAGCATAGGGAATGTCCGCGCGATGTCCTTCAAACGGCTGAAGGGCATGACGACCTTTTGGCAATAAGATTCGAATGTCGGCCCAAGGATCAGTGTCTCGAGTGTATCCTTGTGCTGCTCGATAGCGGGCCAAAGATCGTCTATACCCGCTTGCGCTCGTGACAGATCGAGGTGTTCAAGTGCATCAATCGACTCGATGAACCGCTTCGCAGGCGATTTATCACCCTCCCGCATCCCAAAACTCAGCACTTTTAGCTTGGGGCAAAGTCCCGTGAAGCAAGAAAAGAAGTTTTCAGGATGTTCGCCGCCGAAGTCAAGCTTACGCAGTCGGGAACAGTCGATAGCATCGCGAAACATGCGACAGTAGTCGGAATCCCAGAGATACGCCGTCTGGCCATGGTATCTCAATGTCTGAAGAGTCATCTCCTCCAGCAGAGGTAGGCGCATACCGGTGGTGAGATCGAGGCGCGGTATCTTCGCTGGCTCTGTATCGGGTGTGAAAAGGTTGTGACCGTCTTGCAAGACTTGGAGTCGAAGATATCTAACGTTCCCGCCAGCCGCCAGTGCCTGGGAGAGTCGAGGCCACTCGGATCGGCAAGGGTGCTCGGGGGCGAAACCCTGCATATATACCTCGTAGGTCAAGCTAACAAGAAGCGGAGATGACAGGAGCTTCATGTCCATCTGGCGATGTGCAACACTCGTTGCCGTCTTCCGGTCTACGACAACAACGCGTATCTCGGGCTTCGGCTCAATCGCATGAATGATGTCGTATACTGCCGGAGTTATGTGCGTGGAAGTCTCCCAACTACAAGAGTCAGTTTCAGTATCTTGAATTGGTTAAAGGAACATACTTGAGCGATCGAAGATTCCTGTGCCGCGAAGTCTTGTTGAGTATCATAACCAGGTCTTCGGAGGGTACCTCGTCTTTGACGGTGATGCTGCGGATGTACTTCGTAAGGTCACCGTGCTCATGCTTGGAGAGCTTCTCCACAAGTGCCTTGTATGCCGTTGACTCTCCGTTCAAGATGATGTTGCGGTATATGTAGGGCATTGCTGCATCGTGCAAGACCTCGGAAGATTGCGCCACATTCAATAGATCTGCGGGCGATGTGTCCACGATATCGGAGAGAATGAGATGGTGAATGTCATCCGGGACGACGTTCATGTTGATCTTCTGGCCCGCAACGCCCTGCGATGAAGCAGGAGCGGCGGTGTTATCGACGACAGTGTTGCGAAGTGACATTGTAACAAAGATACGTAACCAGAATACTAGCATGTTGGTCAATCTGACTAGAGATGCAAGACATCTTTATACATTGACCTTCTCCAGGCAGAACTGCAAAGCAGGCGCAGCAAACCACGCGGTGCCAACAGGACCGAAAGCCATCACGACAACACGAGATTCTGAGTTTGCCTGAGGCAACTCCACAACAGGCGGTGAGGTAAACATCTCGCAGCCTAGTCCAGAATCAAGATCCTACCACGGAGGATGTGGAGGTTTTACCGAATACTGTCGTTGAACTGGGAAGAGCGCCAGCCTCGCTTTGATCAGGCTGAACGGTTCAGAATCCACTGCCACGACTGCGCCACGACGGGGGGTCGCTTCGTGATGTGTTCGGATATTTACAAGGCATGGCGATGAGTCCTGAGCGATGGCGCGGATGATCGTAGGCAAGTTCGATATCTATCCGATGCGCGATGCCGGTAGATACTGAGCACTTGCGACGGTTGTGAGTGTGGTATGGCAGAAGGTGCTCAGCGTCGATGACGCACTAGGAAGTGACTGGTCAATGCGGGTGGTCGGGCCTACCTTCCGCTGCTGCCTAGTCACTCACTTACCACCACAACACTACCACGACGCAACAACAACAAAACGCAATGTGAACACTACGCCGACACACCTTGAATCGAAAATTGCCAGAGCCGTCGCTCATCCTCGTCATGACCACTTGAAAACATTGCCATTGCGAACTGACTACGAGCGCCCGACCAAAGCGCTCGGCCGCCTCGTTGCCGACGCACCGGCGCTGAATTGTTGACAATCGAACTGTGGAATTGTATCTGCGATGTAAAGGCATCGGAATTGAGTCACCATTATACATACAGCTACTCTCAACACTCTGCTAACATTATTGAAGATGGGAAAGACATTGCCGTCGCTGCCCTTGCATCCAAAGCGGCAGAATTGCAAAACAAGTTCGACGAATTGTCTACCTTGAAAGCCTCGCAATCGAAATCGCAAAACGACAAAGCGGAATCGGAGGCGTCGCGAAAACGTCAGCATCCATGGCATGTTGCGGCGGCCATCCGCGAGCTCGTCCTCGAACATGATCCTCGAACCGAATTGGTTGAACCAAATCGAATGATACGAATCGACATGACCAGAATCGAGCGAATCGAATTGATTGAACCAAATCGACATGAACCAAGTCGAATGACCCAAATTGGTTAACCCAATCGACACACCAATCGCAACCGTCTTACGGCGCGGCTATTGAACATCGAAGTAAGTACAAAGCCTGGGACACTTTCTGATACCAGCGATGCTAACCCCCAGACAGGAATTGGAGAATTTGGCTATGGCAGACGCCGAATTGGCAAGCGGCTCGAATGGTCAGGAAGACCATTGAGCAAGATTTTTACTGCGTTCTATCAGGTCTCGATCTGGTGCACTTTCCTTCCGCTTCATATCGTGGTCTTTATCACGGTGCATTTCGTCCTATCGTGGTCTTCATCACGGTGCACTTTCATTTCGCGCTCTATCAGATTCACATCTGGTGCACTCCGTTATATCGTGGTCCTCATCACGGTGCACTCTGTTCTATCAGATCCACATCTGGTGCACTTTGCTTTTCGCGTTCTATCGTGGTCTTCATCACGGTGCACTTTGCTTTAGCGCTCTATCAGGTTCACATCTGGTGCATTGTTTTTCGCGTCATATCTTGGAGTTTAACTCTGAGGTGCATCTCCTCTGCGTTTTATCTTGGGGTTCATGTCCGAGGTGCATGTTCTATATCATGGTGCTTCTATCATGGTGCATCTTGATTAGGGGTAATGAAATCACATATACAACCCAAGCTGTTTGATCTTGTTCATTTCATGACTTTTCATGCATATGGCTGAATGCCGTCAATGCTACCGCGGGGATAAATGTAGTAGTTATACAGCGCTTCTCAGACAGACTCTAACTCGCTCGCTCGCTCGCTCACGAGGGGGGCCAATTCCCAACACACATTGTCTCTCATCATAGCCCTCGCGACCATTGTCTGACCTCGAACCCGACTTCTTCCCTAAAACGCTGGTCCCAGAGCGTCATGTCGCGCGATGTCGCGCTTACTGCGTTAGCAGTGGCATGTCACTAGAACGCCAAACTCCATGCAGTGTGCCTTTTATCCCATTCATGCCTCCTGCTCTCTTTGTTGCCTGCCCTTGCCGCCGCCTCGTCGGTCGCCGCCCTTGCCCCTGTTGTCGCCGTCCTTCTTGGCGTCACCAGCGAGAGGATCGCCGCCGCCCATGGTAAGCGCAGCGGTTGCGAGACGGTTCGAGAGGTCGATTTGTGTGCGGATGGTGTTGGCGAGGTATGATACGACGAGGACGTCTTGGATGTGTGCGTTGCTGTGATTGTTAGCATGTGTGCGGAAGTATGAATAATTCTGACGTACAAGTCGCGCTCAATGTCGGCGGGCTCGACCTTGGGTGCCAGGCTGAGTGCGTTCATCAGGAACTGGCCCAGCGCGGAGGATGGCTCGGCCTCCTCGTCCAGCACGTTGTTAACGTAGTTGGAGACGCGCTCGAGCATGTCCAGGACGTGTGTGATGGCCGTCTCCAGCGAGTCGAGGTCCGTCATGACGTCCTGCGACCGGTCCTCGCGGTCCTTGGCGGACGAGATGAGCTCCAGGCCTGACCGCTCGGCCTCGCCGTACTTGATCTCGTGGGGCACGGGGATGAAGAGGCACGAGTCGGCGGCGCGCTCGGCGGTGACGCCAATGGGGGCGGAAATGTACGTCTTGGACTCGATCTCCTGGCCGGGGACGGTGGAGACAGTCAGGTGGACGGCGGGGTGGGGCCATGTGCCGTCGCCCTGCTGGCTGTAGAAG